GCAGCGCGCGGGGCTCCAGCGCTCCGGATGAAAGCGGCTGAGGCGAGAGGCAGCGGCGAGGTGGAGGCAACATGAACACATCGGGTTTCGCCCCCTTGGGAAATGTTTCGGGTCACCTGAATTTTTCGGAGACGAACTCGCAGATCTTGCAGTTTGAGGACGAGGATTGCCGTGTGCCTTTGGCCATGGTCTTCACTTTGGCCTTGGCTTACGGGACTGTGATAATTCTGGGAATCTCTGGGAATCTGGCCCTGATTGTCATTATTTTAAAACAAAAGGAGATGCGCAATGTTACCAACATCCTCATTGTCAACCTGTCCTTTTCTGATCTCTTAGTGACCATCATGTGTCTTCCGTTTACCTTTGTGTATACTTTAATGGACCACTGGATTTTTGGGGAGGCCATGTGCAAATTGAACCCTTTTGTGCAATGTGCCTCCATCACCGTCTCGGTCTTTTCTTTAGTCCTCATTGCTATCGAGCGCCATCAGCTGATCATCAATCCCCGTGGCTGGAGGCCGAACAACAGACATGCCTACATGGGGATTGCTGCCATATGGATTTTAGCCACAGCTTCCTCTTTGCCTTTCCTGATCTACCACGTGTTAACAGATGAGCCCTTCAGAAATGTGACATTTGATGAATATAAGGACAAATATGTGTGCTTGGACCTGTTCCCCTTGGACACTGCCAGGCTTTCTTATACCACGACACTTTTGGTGATTCAGTACTTTGGACCACTTTGTTTTATATTTATTTGCTACTTGAAGGTAAGATAGAATCCTCTTGTGATATGTACTTCTTTCTGTCTAATGTTTGTTTATCCTTGCAAAGATGGCAGTGGTAGTTTAATTTATCCAACATGTTTCTTTTTGTTGACTTTCCTGCAGATATACATACGGTTAAAAAAACGTAACAACATGATGGACAAGATGAGAGACAGTAAGTACAGATCCTCTGAAACCAAAAGGATTAACATCATGCTGATCTCAATAGTGGTCGCATTTGCAGTTTGCTGGCTGCCTCTCACCATCTTCAATATTGTGTTTGATTGGAATCATGAAATTCTGCCTGTTGCTACCTGCAGCCACAACCTGTTGTTCCTGATTTGCCACCTTACTGCCATGATCTCTACCTGTGTGAATCCCATCTTCTATGGGTTTCTCAATAAGAACTTCCAAAGGGACCTGCAGTTTTTATTTCATTTCTGTCACTTCCACTCCCGTGAGGAGGATTACGAGACTATAGCTATGTCCACCATGCATACAGATGTTTCAAAAACCTCTTTAAAGCAAGCAAGCCCAGTTGCATTTAAAAAAATAACTAGTGATGATGATGATAAAATATAAAGAAGTAATAAAAATTCTACACCAAACTGCTGGAAATGTGATCACAGTTGAAAAGTGTCCAAGGACAAGCACAATTACATAAGAAGTACAAAATGGGTAATGTTTTTCTTCCTTTTCCAAGGAACTTTGATTGTTGTCCCTTTGAAATTATACACTGTGCATTTTTGCCCCTTTTACTGCTTTAATGTTCATGGAGGTTGTATCTGAATTTTATTATAAGACTTAGCCAGACCTGCTACTACCTATGGTTTTCATCAGCTGTCTTTTGTTCTGTTTTCTTTGTACAGTTATGTGCTCTGGTACAAAGGTGTATTTATTGATTTTTTTTTTCCAAAGAAGTAGTTTTCAGAAGTGTTCACCTAAGACCATTAAAAACAGTATGAACCACAGGGACACTGTCACTACAGAGGACACCCACCAAAGCATAAAATTAGGAAATTCTGATTTGAAAAGGAGGAGGTTTTTTGAGGTTTTTTTTTTAAATTCAGCTTTTGATTGATGCTAACATCCTGTAAAGTCAGTGTAGGCATGCAAAAGAAAAGGATTCTGTGAAACCTGTAGAATGTGTTTATATGGGGACATACAGTTTTCTCATTTATAGAGGCAATCCAGGCTGTAATCACTTAGTTCCAAAAACAGGATTAAGAGAGAAATTCTGTTTTCATTTACAAGAATAAAACCCAATGGTAATTCCACAGAGCACAATGGGATAACTCTGATGTTTCGCCACAGCAAATGAAAACATAAGTGGGCCTTCAGTCCCAACTGATTATAGCTGGTTTTAATAACACAGGCTTTTTAATTTAAAAAGCCCAAACCCCATTTTCATCTGCCATAACTAACAGGAGTTAGTGGTGCTGGGATGAAATGCACCATCTGTCCCAAGCCTATGAACCATGTAAATTCTCCTTGAGACCTAAATCCAAAATCTAAAGGGAAATGGGACTGTTCACTGTCTGGACAATGTGCAATTCCATCCTGACTGTTGACAGTGAAAATCATGTCTGATATTAATAAAATAAGCTTTACCTCCCTGAGTGTTTTCATAGTAATTAGTGCTGATCTGTATAAATTACATTCGGCCTCATAATATTCTGTGTTCAGATCTAATGGCATAAACCTGGATAATCTCCAAGATGGATGGTTTAATCAAGATCTGCAAAATTTAGAAGAAGGATAGGGATATAGTTTGAGAGTAATTGGTATGTTTAAGCTTCCAAACTCAGTTTCTACAGTTGGTTGCAGAGCAGAAATATTTGCCAGATACACACAATGGAGTTCTGTGTGTTACTGCTTAAAATACGTATCTGCTAATTACACAAAATTTTCATTACTAGATCCCCAGTTGAGGGAAACCCATATAACTTGACTGTTGTAAATGAAATGATAACAATGTTGGCCAGCTGAGGTTCTGTGTCATACAGTGTACTTTGCTGTATAATTAGTGTCTTTTTGAATAATCAGCTTTTTAAAATACAGTATAGACCCTACTGTCTTTCAGAAAGATCACTTTAAATCATTCTGGCAGAGAAGATGGTCTTTAAAATGGATATAAATGTAAATGTAGCATAAATGGAAATCTGACCTGATATATTTCTGAGGAATAAGATCTCAGGATGTTATGGTGAATTTAATAGGTTCTGTATTTGACATAGATAAATGCCTAAGGAATTAAAATTATTTTGGTTGCCAGCATTTAAAAATAAAAACCTGTGCCTTGTGCTGTCTTATAAATAGTGTAGAATATTAAAGTAGCAATGTGTTCTTGTGCATTATAATTCCATATATTTCTCTACTGACAGATAATTTCATTAAAAAGGTTTCTGTGCTTGAGAACAGAGAGGGAATGTAGAAACTTAATTATAAGGCAAGTTTCAGTCAGAGCTTTGGCCTTTTGCATTTTATGAGATTTCCTTCTTCTTTGTGATTCTCTATGGATTGTGTTGTTAATAATTTGGCAAGGGTCACCCAAAAATATTTCCCTCTCACTTTAGAACCATTTTCATATGCTAAAAGGTGTGTATTTTCACAATGAGATACAATGTAGAAAAACAGCTCCCCATTTTTTTTTTCATTAAGAATGTCCAAGTGGGGTTTTCCCATGAGAAAAAGAATCACAGTGAATTTTAGGAGTTCCCCATCCTTTAATTTTTTTTTAAAAGCCTGTTCTTTCAATGCAGTGGAAGAACAAATTCAATTATTTGAGAAAGTTTCCAGTTTTGACCAGGCTGAATTAGGTGTTTATATAGAGTAGCTGTTGGAGGAACTTTAGAGGAACCTGCTGGTGCTCAGAGACCTAAAACAGGTCTGTCCTAAGATTTGGACAGCAATGTGGGACACATTGCTAAGTGGGACAGCAATGTAATTCTTCCTATGTCAGCATTTCTCCTGCTCTGATGTACAGTCTCAAGTCATGCAGCCCATCTGACACTGTCTCATACTGTGTCCTGAGAATGAGCAGCAGGTGTTTTTTACCTACCAACAGCTGATAAACAAGGTGAATTTTAAGTAGGAGCATTCCTTCTGCTCATCCTTATTAAGCTCAGGAGTCAATTTTCCTCTGCACTGGTGTCCTTGGATCAGGCTTCCCAAATGTTTCCTCACTTCCCTGTAGAAGTCTTTCTGAGCCCTTGCTAAGGATGCAGGCTAATGCAATCATACAAATAGCACAGGGGGCACTGCCTGAAATGACAGTGGAAATGAACACAGTCTAAAGAATGTTCAGCAGAAAAATGCATTTGGAGAAATTTCAGAGGCAAAATCATTTCTTTTCTGAAGAATTTGCTATGAGGACAGAGATAAAAGGAGTCTCTCTGAGGTGCTGACCTGACATCAGCAGGGCGTAGATCCTATCTACTGAGAGCAGTTACTTTTGTCTTTGGTTTTGTGACTTGAAGCTGAAGTTCTCAAAAGCCGCTGGAGATTTTCCCATCCTGACAACCAGCTACAATACTGATCTTCTTTTTCACTTTCAGAGCTCCAGCATGACTTCTCATCCTTCACATGCTAAATTTTATTACAGGCTAAGCTGTTGGGTTTCATGTTTTGCTATTATTTCTCAGTCATTCTGGTTTGATACTTATTTCTCCTATGTGCTGTTTTGTCAAATGCTCCACACTTCAGCACATGCTGCTTTCTATCTCAAAAGCCTGAAGATTTCTCTTATTCTTTCAGACTGGTAAAAAAGTTTTACTGACAGAAAAACAGAACAGTGAGTGATCTATAACGTATCTTATTATTTATGTGTCATACTTTTCATGTCAAATCTACAGCCTTAAATGACAAATATAACTGTTTAATAAACATTTATATCTGCTTCATTTGTCAGTTATTTTAGCATTTTAAACTTCACTTTTATTCACCACAGACATTTAAAGCTTCTGTATAATCTAAATAAACCAGCATATTTCTATGTCATCTTAATAACAAATACTTCTGTATTCCCATATTGCATTTTTTCAACATATCTCTTGCTTGTGTCATTGTCAGTATGTATGGTAACTCACAACTTTCACATGAACATTAACAAAGGGGATAATAATAGAGGAAGTGATTAATTGACAATAATAGCTACTTTTGGTAGGCTAGGTGTTTAAAAAAGGTAAATATATATAATCAACCCTGGTTTAATCACCACATAAAGAAGTCAGATTTAAACCAGGAAAAGGAATCAACATGAGCCCCCAGGTCACTTGACTGCATCTCATCACTGATGGAGGTGTGAAGGGCTGAGGGCTCATATATTCTGACTCTGCTGTATTGCAGTACAGTACAAGCTATTATTAATGCATCCTAAAGGCAAAATTTGATAATGATTCATATTCAGACTGTCAATCAGCATATGTTTAAATCTAGGCCTGTATATGAAAATCCGATTCTGACCTCAGGAAAATACTCGTGGATCAATGAAACTGGAGAATTTGCTTAAAGTTGACCATTTGCCTAGGCACTCTACTGAATAGAAATGCACTGCTGGCTGGCAGCTCAC